TCTCTTCAAGCAATAAACCCACAGAGGCAGTAAAAACCCCAAACACATAGGCACATATACACACACTCCAGTGAAATGGTGTCTTCTAAAGAACACAACCCCCCTCCCTTCTCTCACTCTTCCCTTAAGCCACGGTTAGCATGAAAGTGATCAATATCTCAATCTCCATAAACTATTTCAATAATAGTTAGTTCACCTGGAAACAGAAACTGAACACTTCTGCTCAGCGACCTGAAACGTTCCTTCTTGTTTGTGAAATGCGAGTAATATTTCATTGCCATAATGGCTATGACTCAGTGAAGGGTTTTAGGAAGACACACACACACACATGCTTTTGTTCTTCAGTTCCAAATCAATATGAGGTGCACACATTTCAGAAACATGCAGAGTGTGGAAAGCTGGAAGCCAGAAAACATAAAATGTAGCAGCAGAAGCATTTGTAATTCATTTTATTTGACGAAATGATCATCAATTGCCTCCAAGGCAATATGTGTGGCTGCTACCTATAGCCAGAGAGAATTCAACCACCTGTAAGCTTTCAAATGGGGTAATTTCAGTTTGGCTTCTGCTGTAACACAATTCAAGGTGCTCACATTAGTGTTTAAAACTCTAAATGACTTAGACTCTGAATATCTGAGAGAGTACCTCCTTCCCTACAGATCCTGGGTGTTATGTTTGGCAGAGAGGGTTCTCTTCATAGCTGCAATGCCTATATAGTTCAGGTAATGGTGGCTTGGAAGAGGGCATTCTCTATGGCAGCCCCTAAGCTGTGGAATTTCCTCCCCACAGAGCTGTTCCAGCATCTTCATTGCATAACTATTGCCATATATTGAAGATGTACTTATTTAATCTGGCCTTTCACACACACACACACACACACACAGTGTGTGTGATACACACGTATAACCCACCCACCCTAATCTTCTGATTCAAAAATTGTCTCAACCTTATTTGTTATATTATATTTTAAAATTACTGTAACCTGCCCAGGGACCTGATTAAAAAGCAGCTAAGAAATCCAATAAAATAAAGGCAATACAATCAAACACAGGATATAATTGACCCCCTATTGAGTCTTCCATTCAATCCCAGGAAATATTTCAAAATAAACTTCCACAGCTAACGACCGTTCTGATAAACCTTACATGGTCTCAAATGGTTTGTTGTGCCATGAACTTTTATAGATAATGATCACCAATGAACATACTGTATTAAATAGGCCGAGAAAGCTGTTCATATAAAGGCTGATCCACATGTTACATAAGACAGGAAGTGCCTCTGTAAACAGCATTCTCCTGCCTTCCCCATAACATCACTAACCACATCAGTCAAAGGTATGGGACAGAGGTTGCTGGTTTTAAGTGCTGTAACAGTTTGCCAGCCTTGTGCCCTCCATTATGTTCTGGACTACAACTCCCATCAGCCCCAGCCGCCACAGCACATAAGCCCAAGCATCATACGGCCCTGCTGACTGATGGGAGTTGTAGACCAAAACAAGATGTAAACAAGATGCTTGTTTACAAAGCTATTTGTACTACCAACCTTACTGCATGCTTGTGAAACATGGACCACTTACAAATGCCATCTCCAACTTCTCAAAAGATTCCATCAACGGTGTCTCTGAAATATGTTACACATCACTTGGGAAGACGGGCGAACTAATATCAGTGTATTGGATGAAGCAAAGATCACCTGTGTTGAAGCAATGATTCTTCAACATCAACTTCGTTGGACTGGTCATGTTGTGCGGATGCCTGATTATTGTCTTCCAAAGCAACTACTCTATTCCGAACTTAAAAATGGGAAGCGTAATGCTGGTGGTCAATAAAAGAGGTTTAAAAAATGTCTCAAGGCAAATCTAAAATAAATGTAGTATAAACACCGAAAACTGGGAAACTGGCCAGCGAGAGCTCCAGTTGGAGAACAGCCTTTACCAAAGGTGTCATGGACTTTGAAGACACTCGAACTCAGAACACAATGGAGAAACATGCTAAGAGGAAGGCACACTTGGAAAATCCACACCATGATCAACTCCCGCCCGGGAACCAATGTCCCCAACTGTGGAAGGACGTGTGGGTCCAGAATTGGCCTCCACAGTCACTTACGGACTCATTGTTAAAACTGTGTTTAAGGAAGACAATCTTACTTGGCTCCGAGTGATCACCAAAGAAGAGACCAAAACACCTGGCAGGCACCAGCTTGGCAAAGGCTGTATTAAGGGGCGAGATCTTAACATAGCAATGCTGACTTGGGTGGCAGTATAACATATGCCACATAACATGTCAGCTCCAACTTAAATTCACAGAGAGAGAGAGAGAGAGAGGCTACAGATAGGCTGCTGGAATTAAACCAGGTTAACAATGTAATATTTTTCCATGACAGCATAGTAAACAGAAATCTATTTAAAAGCATGTTGTGGTTTTAAAATTCTCTTTAAAAACAAAAAAACTTATACAGTAATGTCTTCTAAGAAAACAAAAACATGTGTTTTGTATATGGAAAACAGTTCTTCCTGGAAGAAATCTTTATCATTCCCTCAAGGCTTTCCTTATGAAGTTTTATTTTAATTCCTTGTGGGGTATTTTTCATACACTACTGCAGACTATTAAGTGTGAATGCTTGCATTATGGGACTTAAACTTTGCACTATGTAGGAGATAAAGACTTTCCTGTCAAATAAAGCACCCCCTTGCTATTGTAATCCTTAAAATTAATAAGGGTTTCCGTAGGCAGCTTCTGCAGGCAGCTGGCTAAGGGAGTTCACTGCACAAGGTTTCTTTTAGGGGATTTTTTAAAAAGAGGGGCGACAAACACACATAAAAGTGGGAGAGAGTATCAAGGGAGCTGTAAACATAAAACATGCATTAACTTTCAAAGCTAGTTGGTGCTGAACAGGTGCAACTGGGGTGATGAGGTGAATGCATCTCTCACTTTCAGGTTGTATGAGTAACCACAGAATAACCTTCCAGTTCTGAAAGAGGCTTTGTCCACTGCACGTCTGTCAGCTTCTACCTGCTGTTATTATTATTAATAATATTTATAGGTTTATATACCACTTAATGCCAGTATAGGCTTATAAGCAATTTTCAATAGTATAAAAGAAGTGACATAAACATTAAAACATTAACAACAATGATTAAAATACACAGAAAATCCCAATTAAACAACAAAGCCATTAGAAGAGGGCACTCAGATCAAGGGATTGCCTGTGAAAACAGGTGTGTCTTCAAGAGAATGCCAGTACAGATGGGACTACCCATATTTGAGCAGAGGGTGATTGATCGGCCTTTCTCGCCTATCACCCACACCCAGGGGCTTGTATTAAGATGTGCCAAGGTAAGCAAAGCTCAAGGGGGCAAACCTATCTAGAAGGGCTAGATTTTCAACCAGACCAAATAGTTTTAGGCAAAAGGGTCAAATTTTGGGAAAGTGGAAAATCCAAATCCTTAGCCTCTTATTTGAGAGGTGCCCTGGAGCTGTTACTCAATTAGAACTGGACAGCTCATCAAAAGGATTAAACTACCCCCAAACTGTCTAGCTACACCAGGTTTACCAAATGTTCTTATGCATTCAGATAATAACAGGAGAGGCAGCTGCATCTTACGTTGATTAGATGATTCACTGATCATCAAATTCAAGAGGTGGCAACTCCACCATTAGCAAACTTTTCTGACAACTATGGGTACCACATGCACATGTTGAAAAAGGTGGCCAATTTCTCAAAAGGCAACTGTAATCACCACACAGTGGTTAAGGTAATCACAGAAATCCACCCTAATGGGCAAAAAAGCATACATTTGATGAGGTACAAGTAGCTCCAGTGTCAAGCTAGGCAGTGGTTAAGAAACTAAAGATGGGCTGGTCAAACAATTCATTGAGCTCAGCTTATCATCTACCAACAGTGACCAAGACGACACTTGGGGGGGTTGGAAGCAGAACATCATGACAGTATATATTCCCCAGCACCATTGGGATGCACCAAATGGAGGCTGGATAGTAACCAGAAATACAGCTTTTGTATATACATAATCCTTGCTAGTGGGCTGGCCTTCACAATAAGCATTGGCAAAGAGTTCCACAAGTTGGTTATTTAACATATGGTCCTGCCGACTGAACTATCCTCCATGTATTCATCTAATCCAGTTCTAAAGCCATTTATGCTTGTGATAGCAAGAAGTTCCATTAGCTTGATTGTGCATTGTACAAATAACCTTTTCATTTTGCTTGTTGTAACCCTACTGTCTAACAATATATGAAACACTAAAAAGAATAAACTGGCTGTGTTCACAATACTAATCCACGGTTTGTTCGAAAATACGACTTGTTTCACAGACGAGCAAACAAGTCATGGCCAGTTTCTTCAAAGCTTGATTTGTTTTCCACTTGCTCTTACATCATGCTTTTGCAGCTTGGCAAGCATCTAAGATAGGGATGGTCAAATAAGCCATGTCCAAGGAAGGCTGTTGGTTTCAAACATAACCCCAAACCATTAAAACCATGGTTTGTAATCCAACAGTAAACCATAGCTTCACGTTGTGGTTTCTTTTGGCAGAAATCAAACCATCATTAATCAGCTGGGCTTGTTCACACGTTCAAACAAACTATAATTAGGCTAAACAAACCATGGCTTAGTGTTATGGGTATGCCAGGCCACTTGTATATGGGGTGTTCTGATCTTCCACCTCAGTTTATTTACTCAGTAGAAGCAAGAGTGACAACACTCCAGAAATAGCATTTTCAGAGTACAGTAGCTACTTTCCACATCCGCCTGGGATTCAGACAATACCAAACAAGATACATAAAAACAGGGGCCATTTTTCAAGATCTAAGGTAGTTATGGCAACTCCTAGAAACATTAAATACAATCAGCGCTTCACAGAGGAAGAATAAAGGCCAGACACCTCATGACACATTCCTAGAGAAGGGGGGGGGAAACCACTGCCTTCTCTTTCCCAAAATTTGAGAGCAAAAAGAAGAAAAGGGAGGGGGGCAAACACTCACTTGTAGACGGTTCCTCCATTGCCATGACCGAGGATGTCTCGATACCGTATGTCTTGTTCATTCATCTCCACGAGAAAGAAAGAAAAACAAAAGAGATGTCATGCCGTGGATGGAAGTGTCAAGGAAAAGCAACTCTAGGCCATAAACAACCAGCCGTCTGGGTCATTTCAAGTTCAGCTGCAAGAACGAGAAGATCAATACAACATTTGCTGTCCAATTTATAAAAGACAATACCAAGGGACAAAGTGATGGAAAGTTTAATGACAATTTGTTTGCCTGGGTCATTTCATTAAAGTTTGATAAAAGGTGTCAAAATGGAATGATAACATAGCTCAAGAGGAGCAGATCACAGATATGGAGAGGAGAAAAGAGGTCTTGACTGCAAACCAAGGCCTAGGTTGGGAGGGGGCTTGAGAGGCTCACAGCCAACACTGACATTAAATGTGGCCAGGAACCTGTCACTGCAGTCCACCTACAATTTAGTTCTAGAACTGGTGAAGAGCCATCAAAAAAAGATGTTTGAACTTGTTCCAAGGATGGCATCTTGTTCAACCTGAGATCACAAAATAAGTAGTTTCCAAAATTTGTAGAACACAAACCAGTTAAGAGACTGAGAGTCAGCTGCAGATCCAGGCATTCCTAACCAACAGGAAACTCCTCCCTCCTACCCTGATAATATTTTTCACTAAGCAGATGTTAAGAGATCAACCCCACTGCATCCACATGTACCAATCCAGCACCTGATATTGTGTCCAGAAGACAGTTCTGCAAATTACTAGAGATGCATGAGCACTAGTGAAAATAAAGGTAGTTTCACAGATGTACTATAACAAGTATACCCTTATCATGAGAGATATAATCCCGACACACAGGTTTTGTTGGGCAAAATATTTCAGCATGCTTTCAGCTGCAGAAAGTTGATTTTAGAAGCAAACTGCAAGCTAAGATAAAATGTTCAAAACTAATCTTCTTGAAGGCAACAAGAGCCAAGCTTAAAATGTTCTCTGCTGCGCTGCACTACAATTCAAATCCAAGAAAGTATTTTTTATTTCTATAAATGTGCAGGTCTAAACTTGGGCAATCTGTGATCATCAGAAGCACAACGGCACAAAAGTAGACTTCATATAAATTGCTTGTTTAGTTTGTTGCAGCAAACTTAATATATTGAAATTAATTAATACCCAATGGCCAACCATGAATCAAAATTAAGGTTTATGCTATGGGATTTTTCCCTGAATGGATTTTTCCCCTTTCAACAAAAGCAGACCAAGAAGGGAAGACCATTTTGAGAAATTCTACCTTTCCTGAAATGCTGTGTTTCCTCATAAAAGATATGACTAAGAAAAACCTAAAAGAAAATACCACCTAGGCTCATGAACTTAAGTGTCTCTGAAGGATTTATTGCCCTGGAGAAATGGGCACACTATGATCCAAGTAAATACAAATGAGGGGTACTATCTACACAAACTTCTCCTGAACAGCAATTGCCAATCATTTCAATGGACTTACACTGTAAAAGTTCCCCCGATGAATTCTGATGTAGGTCAGTTACTTTAATCTACCTTTGTACAGAGACATCGGAAAAGAAACACTTCAGATTTGCATCACTGCAAATGTCCTTTGGGGAGTAGCAGTTTTGTTGCTTAATTATACAAGCTTTGATTCAGGAAGGACCAGTAAAGGTTTCACAAGCACAACTGTACTGGGAGTTTTGCAGGAGTGTTTCTTCACTCCATTTCATTTAACCTGTGTTTGGCCAAGTCACCTATTTTAAAAAGAGTTTATTGTTTCCCATGACTGCTACCTTGAGCAGACTGGCCCACACTTTCAGAATAAAAATCTGCTAGCACCACACCAATTTTTTATTTAATAAGAAATACATTGGGAAACAAAAACAACTCCTAGCAGTGCTTGATTTTTAACATAGAACACAACTACTATATAATAGGATCATGAGACATCCAGAAAGTATAAATTAATGCAGCTACATAAGAACATGAATCATTCCCAAAATATAATACTTATTGTCCTTGAATCTTCCTGCCTCTTGCCATCCTCTCCTGCTATACCAGTACGGCGTGTCAGACCCTTTGAGAACCACCAACCTAGAGCGTGCATATTCTTCAAAGTGTAAACTGTGCCCAAGGATTGCCAGATGCATTTTGAAACCAGAGTAAAATAAATCCAAACTGCCACAACCCATTGGGAGGTCCATTAAAGCAACTCTGAGCTACACACCTGTTTACTGTGACCCCTAATGATGACCGAGTTCTGTGGCTTGAGCTGGCTGCATTCCACAGGTGAGCCAGGTTTTGATAGGGCTGCCAGCCAAAAAATCCCCCAGAGTCATTGGAAAACCAACTGGATCCATCAGTCTCCAAGGGCAGACTATTTTAATAGGCTCCCTACCACTGCAGAGGAGGAAAGCAACTGAAAGTCTAAAATTCAACAGGAGGTGATCTGACCACACAAGCAGATAATGCTATAATCCTCCTCTCAGATGACCCTCTTCCTGCCAGAGTGTGGCTAGCAACATGTGTCAGGTTGATGACATGTTGGGACAGCCCCACTGCTGTCATGCAAAGCTATAAGGTTATGAGCAGCCCCAGACTTAGAAGCCTCATTGTGAATGTTGACTTCCGCAGGACCAACAACCTGGGGGTCCTCATGCCACATCCAAGACCACATCTGTCAGCTCAGGCTGGGAGGCATTATTATTATTATTTAATATAGTAAACCAACAGAGTCCCTAATGTTTCCTGAGTGCCCATCACAAGACTTCATTGCTTCATTCATTTATTAAATTTGCATGCCACCCCTCATCTGAAGATCACAGGGCAGTTCATAACATAAAAATACAAAATGAAAATCCATTCAAATTGACAGGGAGCCTGCAGACAAAGAGCAAATTACTATAGACTATAGTGGCACCCTCTGCCTGACCCTCAAGCCTGCTCTGATACCGCACTGAGTAGTCAGGTGGGCACAGCAGGAAGATACCAACACCACCTGCTCACCCACCCAGATCTCAGTAATACAAACCAGGTTGGCCTCCTCATCCAGGTCATGGATGAGGGAGACCTTACCTAAAACTGACCTAGCATTCAGTAGCAGCACCCACAAGCCTGAGGGTTGACTGACAGAGCAACCAGACTTCCTCTGGCTGTCCAAAGAATGTTTCTCCTATTTAATCAAAGGCTTTTTCTCCCAAGGAGTCCCCAATTCCAAATTAGTCTGACATACTCCTTGATGAGAACAAGAGGCCTAACACAGGCCATCTTGGTTTGGCCTTTTCATTACAAGTGTGGAGGCTCAAATACATCACCAGGGAATGTAATTGCAAACCTGATGAACTCCAGATGTTTTCGACAGCAACTCCCATCAGCCCCAGCCAGCATGGCCACATGATGCTGGAGTTGGAGTGAACATCGTGGTACTGGCTGGGGCTGACAGGAGTTGTAGGCCAAAACATCTAGACACTATCAGGACGCCAACGGATGCCCTACTTTACTGATGTAAAATCCAATTGATCAACTCAGAGAGACATTCCTATAGATACCTAGTAATTTATCAATAATAATTACGAAGTGGGAAGCTCAATAAAATCATAACTACAACTTCAAAGCAGGTTCTGAAATACTAACTTTTCTGAAACAACCTTGATTGGCTGCCAATGTTAATAGAACTAATGGCAAGTAAAAGAGTATCCAATTACGGATCAGCAAACAAAACATTCTTTGTTTATATCTGCTGTCCTGGAGAGAAGCAGCATGCATCTCTTATAAATCATTAGAAGCAAAAATGCTCAATTAATCCTTATTTGATACGTAAAGCTCTAGCAGAAGTCCGGCCCTATAAGCTATGCCTCCTCTGTACCAATCGAAGCTCTAATGGCTTCAGAAAGCAGTCACACTCTATGAGCAGACAATTGAAGAGATTTAGTAAATCCCACTTTATAGAGCAGAGACTAATCGGAAAACACAAGCCAGTCAAATGTTTCTTATGAACTGTTGACACTACATCAATGCTGAATCAATTGGCGGCATTTTCTCTGAGTGACAGAAAAGAAATAAATATTTATATCACATAACCTATATCAATGAACCTAGGCAGAAAGCTATTTCTAACCTGTCAATATTTGATTATCTTGAAGAATCGTGTCCCCTTTCTTTTAATGATTAATATGAATTCCTTATTAAACCTAAGTGGAGGCTATCAGGGAAAAATGTCTTTATTAATGCTTTCAAGCAGAAGGTGCAAAAAAAGGAAAAAGAAACCAAGAATTATCCACTGTACTACAGCTATACTTTAGTATAGCTGAAACCACCAAATTGTTAAAAAACAAAACAAAAAACAACAACCTTAGAAGTTATAACCAAAGAAACTTCCCATGTCGTGTCTCTGAATCAAATACAGTCAGTAAAAGCAACAAGACCACACAATGTTAGGGAACTTGACATTAATTCTCTCCCCTCCCCCTAGTTAAGAATGTTCTGATTTCACTGACATCAAGAGAACTTAAACAGGCTAGACTTGGAATGGATATCCATGACTGCCACCACCAACCACCCCTCAGTGCAGAGCCCTGTCCATGTTTCCCTGTGCAAGGTTGCTTTCTCATTTGCTTCAATTGGCATCAGGGTTGGGGGAGAGAATGTCTACACCTCCACCCCTTTAGATCTGACTGCTCTGCTGAAATGATGGGGAGAACTTCTGGTGCACAACATTTCAAAAGAACTGATGGTCACCATAAGCATCTAAGTAAATTAAAGATACAATTATTCATCTACTACAACAGCCCTTCATTCACTTATTTTTAAAACATTACATAACACTAAAGGGGTATGAATAATGCCCACAGTTTGAAAACTATGCAGGTCTTTATATCCCTAAATTCCTGAGAACTCTTTGCATGCCTGGGCTTCCCAAAGTCACCTACAAGGGTCATTTTCTTTCCCCATCTAGTATTTAAAATCCTCCACATTCCATCAAGAATATTAAAAATACTTCTGTTCTCAGACAGAATATTTAAACCACTGCTTCCTTAATGACACCTTTTTCTCCTCCTCTACCCCAGGAACCTTAAACATTTATTACAGAAAAGCATTTGTGAAAGATTAAATCAAATGCCGAGGGTGGGTAAAAACAGGAGGCATGTATTTTATTTTTATAAAGCCCCCTTGCTATATTTCAGGCAAGAGTCACAGCCAGGACTTAAAAAAAGAAGAACTGAAATCCATATTCCTAAGTTTTATTTAAACAACTCTGATCACAAATAAGCAAGGCTGCAGTGCAGGTGACACTAGCAGGACCATTCTCATCTATTAAGAGCACAATGTTACAGGTGAGCCGCTGAAGGACAAGCGTGAAGACCAGCTTTTATCTTCTTGACACGCTCAACTACAACTACTTGATTCATGAAATGCCAATGAGGCTTGGAGAGGTCACTGTGTGAAGGCACTGAATACGCATCTGAGATAATTAAGATTTCAGCCTTCGAAACATGGAAGGGAAGTGAACAGCAGTTAAGAAAATCAATAAGAGTCTTTTATTTGCAGTGACACAGATGTCTCAGTCAATAGTGTCTAATAGGCAAGCTTGATCGCTGTGGACAGGTGCCTGCCTCCAAGGCTATCAAAGGGCTTTCACCATGACAAACATTAAAACTTATTTATGTTGCTATTGAAAGATCCTGCTGCCTTGCAGGTACTTCCATTTAGTGGTGTATATTTAAAGTCATTATGCTACTTTGGGCCTTCCCGCCTATTTGAATCAAAACTGGCCAGGAAGGACTTGCCCTGAAGTGTCCATTTGCCCATCAATTGTGAGGCTACTGCATTCAATTGCAGGTGCCAGGGGAAGGCAAGGAAGCCTTCTACAGATTTCTGGCCCCTTTACAGAGCAAACTGATAACTAACACAGAGCTCCAAATAACACGGCACTACGTACTTCTACTACTACCTCCACTCTTCATCATCTGGCAGCGTGTGTATGTGCCTTAAACCTATATGCAAAGATCTAACAAGCCAGGAATCCTATTTGCTATTCAAAATTGATTAAGTTTTCTTCCCCTAAATTGAGGTAGCAGCAGAACGACGGATGCGAAAGGCGCTTCAATCTATTTGGAGCTAAATCTGATTAGTGCATTTTGAGAAAGGCAAAGCAAATTGGTGTGCCAATCCAAATCAATCAGGACAGAGGCGCCTCCACAATACGAGCCCTTTCACAGCTTCTCCTCTACTTTATTAAAAGACCACATTACTGATAAGTGAGCAGTAAGCATCTCTGAGGCTATCCTAAAACACAAGACATTCATGAACAAGCCCATCCAATACACCTACCTGGCCATTAGCTAATATTTTCTTCAGTTCTGCAGAAGACTTCTTCAAACTGCACAATCAAGAAGGACAAAAAAAAGGTATTTTTAGTGATTGTATCAGTGCACTTTATTGAATGGAATTGCAACTCATACCCAACTAAAAAAGTATAACACTACTTAGCGTTACATCTGCCTATAATCACAGCTGTGTGAACTCAGCACCCAAGCAATTAGCCTAGAATTAATTATCACAGTTTTACTTTTTTCATTTCATTTCTCCTCTCAACATTCAGATTTCCAAAAAAACTGAACTTTCATGTTGAAATGGTAGGGTTGCAGAGAGAAAACAAGTGCAGGGAAAGGGCAGTGGTAAAGCCAGAGTGGTGCAAAGCTCAGAAAGTTGCTTGGGAGTCACTCATTTCAAATCTCTGGATTAGTTTTAGATCTATAAAATGGGAACACCACTCATAGTTGTTGATAGAATAAACATGTCAACCAGTTCTAACCACTGATGCTTTGAATGCAATTTTAACTGGTTATTCTTTGATAATTGACATCCACATAAGACTGTAGAACAGGAATGGTGCAGGGCAGGGTAGTCCATTGCTTGGCCCAAGGGCCCCCCTCAAAGCCTTATTTGATGGCCCTCAGGAACATTTGATGCCCCCCAACCCTTTGTGTTGCCTTAACAAAGCCAAGTAAGCGAGAAACTGGGCTTTGAGAAGGAATTGTGAGGGCTGTGACAGGGTCAAAGTGTCCTTCAGCCTCCTTCCCAAAGCCTAGTTAGAGGTTTCTTAGCTTTGGGAAGGAGGTGAAAGGGTCCTAGGACTCTGCCAGAGCCTTGCGTCTCTTTCCCAAAGCCCTGTGCCTCACTTAGCCGGCTTTGAGAAGGCAGTGCAAGGGATGGGAGGGGGTCAAATTTGGGCCTTGTTTCCCCCACCCAACAAGGCAGTGTGTGGCCTGTGGGTTCCATGTTGAAGTCCTATTGCAGCCCACTTGATATTAAAAGTTGGACTGCCCTGGCCTAGGCTCACAGTCCAGTAGGAAGTTCTTGTGCACGAGACTCATTGAAGTGAATGTCAGCTGTGCAAAGAGGTGCTTTTGCACAGCCTCCCATTCATTTCAATTGGGCTTAAGCAAGAACATCTCCTGCTTTATCACAACCCCCCAAAAAGTTAAAAATGCAATGAGATGTAATTAGTGCATATATACCTCTAAATGCACCAGACACTTAATAAGCCAGGATATAAATGTGCAGGCTGCAGCTACACACAGCTCTTTCATTCTTGCTTTGCTTCTCCATTTGCAAAATAGACCAGGAAGCTGCAGTTGTAAGCCATAGTTTAGTTGGCTTACAAATCATGACTTGAGATCACGAAATAAGCCATTTTGCTTGGAGAGTTTCCATAGGATCATAGAATTGTTGGAAGGGTTGGAAGGGACCATGAGGGCCATCTAGTCCAAACCCCCTGCGACCCTGAGATTAAAAGGCTCATGTTCTACTGTTTCATTTGGATGCTCCAAGTTCACATGCAACAAAAAGGTATGATCAGCTGTGATTTCTTGATTTGTTTTTCCTCTCCTCGTGAAGTGAGTAGCAAAGAAGGAGCAAAGGGGCTGCACACAGGCTGTATACAGGTGCATATTCTTATTAAGCCAGGATTCAATTGTGTGAATCCAGCTGTATTCTTGACAGGCATGAGTGTCTTATCATCGATCATGTTGACTGAAATTAAAAACATGTATATGGTATCTTTGTTCTTTAATAAGCCTCTTGTCTGCTGGACTACTTTAAAGAAACTTTGCCAAATGAAAAGTATACTGATCTTGTCATCTCTTGCAACCAACTGTTTTGTGAACATGAAACGGAGGCAGGCTGTCAATGACTTCAAAACAGTCATTCCTAATGCAGGCAGGTTTTGGAAAATGAAAGTCAATTAACTGCCCCATTAGATGTCAGCTTCTACAGAAGGCACTGCTTGCAGGGCACTTTCAGAACCAGCTCAAAGCATGTGAAGAAAACAACTGACCACAGAAGGGGGGAAGGGACTTGCTTTTATATGACTTAATAAGCTTTAATAATTTTGTAATAATAATTTCCTAATACTTTGCTGATAATCCTTCTCCTCTCAGTAAGCAATAGTTTTGATTCCGACTCTAGACCTATGCAGGTTTCACATACATCACAGAATGTCCTCCCCTGTGTTAGGGTACTGCGGCATTTAGCTGAGGTAACGGACAAACTTCTTTCCTTGCATTTCCTAATTGAAACAGGTAACAGAAGAATCATTCTCTCTCGCAAACCTTTCCTTATATATTCTTCAGTGGCTCCTCTTCTTTCATTTCTGCAACAGAGCAGGAATAACCAACATGGAATCCTTGGACTACAATTCCCATTATCCCTAACCATTGGTCATGTTGGTTTGGGCTAATGGGAACTGTAGTCCAACATCTGGAGGGCAGCACATTGGCTACCCTTGACTTAGAGGATTCCTACAGGTCTCAGGCCTCATCTGCTTGCTTTAATTCTTCTTTAGTATTTCTCCCTGGCACCACAAGGCTTCACTCATTGTCAATTCTTTAACCACCTTTACACAAAACAAAACCAATTGTTCTGTCCATCACCCCTTGAACTTCTGGCCCATCATAATCTTGCAGAACTCTCAATGAGACAGAAATGTTCTGAAGCAGAAGACAAAACGTATAACCTTTACAGTCCTCTCCTCCATTTCTCTGAGGTAGCCCTGTCCTTTCCGTAGGCTTGCAAAACTGGATCCATCTTTGTCTCTTCCCTTTCCTTTGGCCCACCACATCCAAGCTGTGCCCATATCCTGCAGCCTTTCTGTTTCTCCTTTACCAAGATCCACCCTTTCTTCTGCCTATTGCTAAAATCAACTGGCCATGGATCTTGCTATAGATGTTGTCTTCAGCTGATTTAGAACCCCTCTGAATTTCCCCCCTCAAGCAAGGATAGCCACTTGAGTGACAAGAGAAGATAACAGCAGTACAGTATTGTTCTGTATCACATAGTATTCTAAAATGGGACAGGAACAGTCTACTATAATATAGGAAACTTAAAGTGCAGTGTCTTTAACAGGGCTGGGCGATATCAACTTTTCAGCGTTATGATATACCATCGGCCAAACATCGCGGTCTGGCAATATACCATGATGTTGAAAAAATAAACCGCATTGGCCTCAGCCTGTCAGGCACTGGGTGAAATTGCCACAGCTCTCACTGTGGGAGCTAAGGCAGTTTCACCCCAGCACCTAGCGGGCTGGGACAAGGTAGGTTGTTTGTACGGCTCAGCTGGGGTGCAGCAAGGCTCTCAATCTCCAGCTGAGCCATCCCCTGTGTTCTCCCTGCTTGCAGACAAGCAGGGAGAACATCGGGGATCCTTTGTGAGGTTCTGCTGGGGATGGGGTGCTTCCTTCACTTGCATAGGAGCCAGCGCTGTGCTGGGGGGGATTACTGCTCGGCTGAGCAGAGGGAGGAACAAGTTGTATCAGAGCTTCTCCCTCTGTGCAGTATGAGGGCAGAGTGGGATGGTGATTACACTCAGTGATATATTGCTGGTGAAACCGCCACTGCTCCTGAGTCCTTCAGCTAGCAACGTTTGCTGGAGGAAGTCGCTAGCAGAGGGACTCAGAAGTGGTGGCGGTTTCACCAGCGATATATCTGCTCCTCATACTGGTCCTGGGTAATATATTTCCCAGGCCTAGTCTTTAAGTTGCTTGATTCACAAGACTTCACTCGTTGGGTCACTAACATTCCCAATTTGCAAAGGCTGAAAAGAGATGAGCTGCTCAGAACCCAGTAACTCAATGGCTAGGAAGGGTCTTGAAATCTGGTCTCTGAGGTCCTCGCCCACAATCACTGTGCAATGTATCAGACTGGCTGCCTGATTTCCTACACTGCAATCCATGTAGTATTAACTAGTATTAATCACATAGGAGAATAAAACCCCTGCCTGCCCCCGCAACTGCCCAATGTGAAACAACCATAAACACAGGATGTCTGTATGCCCACTACAGAGCATGCTACGTTCTGGACTGGGGCAACTGTGCAGAGAGCACCTCAAAGAAATAGGTTGTCGAAAGGCACAACAGCCTCAAAGACTTAACATTGCTTTCAACAAGCCACAAAACCTTGCTGAAAACTGGTCAACCAAATCCCCCTGAAGTTATCTGGCATTTCCTTATTTGCTCCTGTTAATTACTATGCAGAAATCACTTCTCGGGTTCTGCTTTAATAAAACGCATGCACACTCTTCCCTTCAATTCTTACCTATTGCTTGGAAGGGAGTCCGGGACGGCTGCGCCACTATTGTTAGCAGACCCTGCTCGCGTATTTACCTGCAGGCAGGAAAGGAATCTTTATCAGTTGTTTCTATTCCGAGGACATGGTTCTAATTAACCTTTAATTTGCCATGAATTTCCTATTTTCTCTAGGAAGGTTAATTAGCTAGTTGCCCATGGTAGAAAGCCACCCTCTATGTAGGTTACCACATTGTGTTATCAAGGAATCATGCTCTTTTATTCACTCTGCATTTGAAATGCTTGGTTAAGTAATACAATCAAGAACAGGCACACAATAAGGCTTTCATTTCATTCCTATTAAATACATCTTGCTCATTCCTCCCCTCCCCTGTGTGACCATTTTGCAGTAATATATCAATTACATTTGTCTAATATGTCACCAGAAAGGCTGAGATATACTCTGCACAACTGTGTATCGTTCGTAATTTGAGATTCATGTAACATTACACAGATGCGTATCGATAAAATGCAAGTTAAAACATAAATATTGCACAATGTTTGGGCTATGCTTAAACCGGTATAGATTAAGTACGTCAAAATTAATATGATCTTCTTTCTTTGTTACAGATCGTTGGCACAGCCCAAGAGCACAGCTCCTGCACAACTATGATGTCTGAATGGGGCACCAGAAGGAGGAGGAGCACCTTATTTCAGAGAGAGAAAGCAAGAGAGAGAACAAAAGCAAGAAAAGAAACAAATTTCAGTCACTGATAAACCACACAACTTATTCTGATAGCACAGTCAACACCATACGGAAGGAATCTTTCCTCCACAATGTTTTTAAAAAATCTGCTTGTCAAAGCTCAGAAAGTACCATTTTGTTTGACATTTCAATAAGTGGAACACAGCACTGCAAATCCATCTAAGTTTAATGAAACGATTATTGAAATTCCTACCTTCAGGCCATGTATGTTCCGTTTCCCTGGAGGTTTGCAGGCTGAAACAGTAATTGACTAAATTGTAGAACACATCAGGGCCATTTACAAATTTGCTCAAAATGAAATCTTTTTTTTTTTAAAAAAAGAATGAGAGTGATACCAAAATTAGTAGAGAGGAAAAAATGATTGAGATATGGTTCCCAAAACCCAAAGCAGGAATTACGAAGAAGCGTTTCTAGACCTGCAGCAATGAGCATTTAAAGAAAGATTTGTATTTTGAAAACCAGCTAATATAAATTCTAATTTTATCTTAAATTTCATCAAAATCAATATAACTGTGAGTCATAATGAACATCTTCTAATCCAATTCCCAGTAACTCCTATGTGTTTTTCATTCCTTTTCAGTGTTTTAACTAAACATTTTTTTCAGGAGATGCTGTTTTCAGCAGAGGTGATCAAAATACATTTGGGGTGGGTGAGGGTAAATGATGACACAGCTATGCCAATGTGCCAGACACCCACACCATGTAACTGGGATCAATGCTGCCGGCACATTTTGTTCTGCATTTTCCACACTGAAAACCCAAAGCTGGAGTTTCAAATTTGACTGCCTTAGGACACCAAGGAGCAGGCATGGCATAAATTGAGATGATCTCCTTGGTTATTTACACAAAACCCATGACAGGCTGTTATGAAATATAGGTTTTTAAGATGAAGTACTGCAGAGTGAGAAAGAATTATTTCCTTAAAACCTTTCGAACTCCACATTGACTTTTTCCCCGCCCCCCCGGCCCCCCCATGCAGTGGATATGCTTTTGTCAAATGTTAAAGCCACAAAGGCTTCGAGCTATATGTTACGGACAGTTCCCATTTTAAAACTACAGTGCCCTACAAATTGTATGTTAAAGGGCCTGTCAATTTTGATTGATTGTCTGGGAAAGGATGAATTTGATTTTTTCCCCTTCTCCCCACCACCCATTCTCAGAAATACATGCATTTCACTCCAGCTTTTGACAGGAGGAAACAATGCTATTTATTAGTCAAAAGGACACATATGATAGTTATTAAACACAGCAGTTAGGATCAGCCCATGCAATTTAAGCTATGGAAAATATTACCATTATATTTTTAAATAAGAAATAATGGATTGCTAGTTTAAGGGCAAAAGCTGGGAGGGAAATCTGAAAAGCAGCCAATGAAAATGCAATCAGCCATTCCTAATTTGGGGGTGGAAGGGCCAGAATAGTAAATAATATTTTACTATTAAATATTTAACCAAGTGTCCTTTCTTTGCAGGTTATATACTAGTAACAAACTTCATTAGGTGCAGAGTTAAGCCCTGACTGGAGAACAATTTAAAATTCCACAATCAATTCCAGCACACAGCATCATGGCAACCTTAACTCTGGATAGTAGTGGGGTAACTTCAGGAATTACAAGCTTCATTTTGGTGCTTTAAGCTGCAATCCTAACCCATTTTAACCCTTAGGGGTAAGACCCATTGAACTGAATAGCATATACCTCTGGGTAGACATGGTTAGGATTGCACTGCAAATTATTTCATCACTTTGATTTAATTCTGAGCCCTGTGGGTTTCCACCCTACTCCGACCTCCACTAAATAAAAACCAAACAGGCTTATCTGCATTTAATGAGTTACATGTTCTAACCCAATTACATGCACACTTTTAAACTATTTCTATCTTACAAACAGATTTCAAGTACTTGTTACAAAAACGTGCTTCGCCAAAAAAGATGGGGCAGACGTAGGGCAAATTTGCGCTTTAAAAAATTAATTCTCTTTTTATACTTGCATCTGGGATGCACTGGAAAGAGCTTTGAAATTGACATAGTGAGCCTTCCTCTCACTAGTGGGATCCACAAAGATTGCATGCTTCCCTCATCAAGAATGAAAAAGGACCTCTACATCCTAAACCCACATTCTCTTCCACACAACTGAACTCTAAACTGCCAGTGCTGTCAAGACTCCTTTTGAGATCTTATTAGCATGTGTTAGAGAATCCTGTTGGTTAATTGCCCAATTCAAACTTCAGAGAGTTACAAGTAATGAAAAGTCTAGAGTGTTTTTAATTGGAAAGCTTGTGTTATGATTATTTGTATACTATCAGTTAACTGATGAAGAATATAATTTTTAATTATTTTAATTAATTTATTATAAGGACATTTACTTAGAGAATTTAAAGCCATCTCTCTTAACAACTATACTTTCAGAGATGGGAAAGAGGAAAATTACATATTGTGTTAAGATACATGTGTTAAGAAAAGATCCCCCTTAGCCCAGGTATTGACAAGATTCCAATTTTTGCAGTCCCACTCAAGCAACAAAGAAGTGGACCACCCAACAGAGTTAGTGGTTGCTAGCTGCATAGGCCTGACTTCACTGATTAATCTGCTTGGCATCTGTACGCATTTACACCTTTGCACTCACCATTTTTAAATGGGCACAAGTTGTACAATGCAGTACAAACTAAAATGTGGTCTGGAGAATGACTGTTTATCTGCAGAAACTGTGGTGTCCCCAGAATAATGGATTCCTGCTTCCAAAATTAAGACATAAATGTGACATTACAAGCCTCTGAACCCGTAATCACCGATAAAGCAGCTTATAGATACATTGGCTGGCAATTAAAACTTTTTAAAACATTACCTCTTGGATAGATCTGCAGAGGCACTATTAACTGTCCATTTACTTCCTGTTCCATGACTGTGGTGTAATACTGCAAAAAGATGTATGAGAAAGAGAGAAATCATTCAGTTATATACACAGATTGGCAACAGTGTGTCTCCCTGAATTCAACAGTTCCAGAGAGACCATGCTAATTGCAGCAAAGAGATTGACTAATGCTCTTTCTTTCAGCTGTCACCAAGACATTTTGCCCTCTTCGTTGAATTCACAGCAGTATTTTGTTTTTAAAGTGGCAACTGAACCCTTGCTTACTGACTGCAAAAGAACAACTATAAAGGGGCTTCCAATTTCCTACAGGGGCAGTTTTAAGACTTTAGTATTAACTTTAAAGGCCCTAAACAGTTTGGGACCAAGGTGTCTGAAAGAGTGTCTGCTCCTGCACAGACCTGCCTGATCCCTGCAATCAGCTTCAGATGCCCTTCTGGTTGTGTCACAAGCTGCAGATCTCCGCCTGGTAACAACCGCGAACTGTTTTTTACCACTACGATTGAATATTTTGTATTTTGTATTTCTATTTGTGTAAATCGCCTGGCAATGGCAACAGTGATATATAAATATTTTGAAATAATCCAAGCATCTTAAGCTTTATCATTTCTATAGCCTTGCGAGGAGCTTTACAATTATCATTATCCTTTTTTCTTTACTTGAGTCTGCACAATAGGCCAGCAATGCCTCAGATTTACTCACAGGGAACCCCAGTACAAGATGCGGGAATGGCCACTAGCTTGCAAAAAGGCTTAAACGCACACATGGAGACATCTGCCAGTAGTCAAGAGTGTTAAATGCAACCTCTTTCACATAGTAGATGCAGAGGACAAACTGAGATGGCCAACATTTGTATATTCTCTGCTGTTACCAGGGGTGTAGAAGCAGCTGGCCGGACAACACTGGCAAGAAAATCCTAGGCAAGATGGATCTTGGGCCTAATCTAGGTAAGACAGTTCTTTGTTCTAACAGAAGATGGGAAGCTGTGAATTGACCAAGCTATCCAGAAACTCAAGAGCTGAATGGAGATTTGAATCCCCATAGACTGCCCATGTTCTACACCAGGATGGCTAACCTTTGGTCCTCCAGATGTTGCTGGACTACAATTCTCATCATCCCTGGTCATGAGGGTTGGAGGGTAAAACGCTAGCCTGCTCTACTCTATATGCTGGACCATGGTGTCATTCTCCTCTAGCAAGAAGCAGAGAAAAGTAGCAAGAGCTTAAAAGCAGATATCTGAGATATGCTCCAAGGGCCAGTACCAGTCTCAGAACCCAGATTATAACAGTGCAACTCCCACTCATTTCATTGGGGCTTACACCACAGAGGTTCATAGTAGATTTTGCCCTATGTTTCTTTAAAAATAAAAAAGTAATGTCGCTTTCTCCATTACTCAAACAGAGATGACAAGTAAATGAAATATCAATCATGTCAGCTGTCAACCTTTTGGGACAGCAATAACTGTTAACAAGTAGTCTGGAAAAATTGTCCAAAAATGATTTGTCCTCCACATATGAGCACTTGAGGTTGCCATGGAAAGTTAAGATGCCAGTGGCTATTTGGAACATTGTTCAGGTATTCTTTTTAATGGAAAATTTGCCAGTTATTGATCCAAAACGTGTACCCTTTGCTTCCAGATGGCTGCGAGCAACTTTCCAATCAGTGGCTGTCAAAAAAATTACTGCCTTTTTATACCAATAGAAGGCAACGGTGGCAGCGCAGCCCTACTGTCACTTAATGCCTCTCTCTTAATTAACCAAAAGTACCATAAGAAATTCATTCATTCATTGCTATAGGGATTATAAAATAGGTTGTTGGTTTTCCAAAACACCTTTTTGTCTTATATAGCAAATTTAATATGGCATTACTTTCAAACAGCTTGTGGCAGTTTCTGAACAACCTTGGAATATATGTGGTTCACATGTGAACCAAAACAAAGCCTTCGCCAAAGCTGACCTCTATTATATCATTTATTTCTCAGTTAAAAACAAATCTTCAGTTTGCTTTGACAATAGCATAGCCTGAAAAGGCCTGGCACTCACTCCTGCAGGCTGCAACTTCTCAAAACTATGATGTTATGACTGATATACCATACCAAAAACTCCCTGCAGTTTCAGGGGCAATTTGCCATGCAGAATGAGTGGACTGGTCATTAGTGAAACACAAGTGCAAAACCCTCTTGAGTGCACAGAGTAAGTTGCATGCTTTTTTAGACAAGGGACGTAAGTTCCTCTGTACACAAGCTTTCCTTCAGTGGGAAGGGCAGTGGAGATAGGTATTCCAGCAGTCCTCCCTTCATTGAAATGACTGGGAATTTGCTGCACACCATGAAGTTCCAACTGGACACTGGAGACTCCTTGTGCATAAGGAACCCCTGGGTTAGGTTATCAGAGCACAATGTAGAACTCAGGTCTGCACTGAAGAACTGTCAATCATTGTATCTTTTTAGGAAGAAAAGATATGGAAGACCAATGAATTGTGTTACTCTATTTTAATTGGGGGGAGGGGAGATAATAGCTAAACTCATGCTCATTTATAAAACACAAAGGACAAGTCATTTATAAAGTTATATACAAGTCATTGAGATTCAATGAATAACCTTGTTTTCATATTTTTACAGTTATTAAAAGACAATACATCTTTAAAATCTTCTCTGCATGCTGAGCCTGCAGCTAAAATATAACTCTTCTGAGAGAAGGGGTGAAAAAGTCTCCAGATGAAAGCAGATTTTGTTTTTAAAAAACACATTTTTTTAGAGCCGAGGGGTTCATTTTTAATGAGCCGTTACTTTAAGTACTGCATAAAAAAACGCAAGAAATTGATAGTCCATTTAGTTTGCACTATATCTAATGCAAAAGTCATTAGGATGCATTACTCTCAATGTTCATGATATGATCTGTAAGTGTAGTTGCCTTTTTTTCTCTAAAAAAGGAACGAGCACTTCAAAGTTTCATGTGAGATCTCTGCACCAAGCCAATAGAATAAATAAATAAATAATACACCCTCTGTTTGCTTTTTAACAGAAAAACACCAGAAAAAGGGGTGGAGGAGGAATGAATGAATCTGATCAGAAGCCACCAGAAGCATCTGCAAAAGTCAGACTGAAATGAAGTCATAGGACACTTTGTATCTGCCATTCAGTTCAAAGTTTCTTATTCAGGTGATGTGGATTATGGCTGAAATCTTACATGATTATTTATGTATTTACTGAATAAAATTTATATACTACTTGACTATAAAAACAACAACCCCTCAATAATTTACCAAAAAAATAAAACACACAACCCCAATAGCACTATTAGTAAAATCAATTAAAACATTCAAAAAATTAAAACTACCTATAGGAAATACCTACATAGGACAGCATCGCTTTCATTTCTTCATCACTTCGAACAGTAATCCTATCACCGTCCTCATCTTCATCTGTAAAAAAGCCCATGTCTTTAGAATTATTAGTTTAAAAAGAATAGCACACATTTTACAAAAAGGAACCTTATGCTGTATGCCTTAGCAAACAAAACTGGACAGTGAATGGATTTTAAAACAATAACAAAGCAAGGCAAAAGGATAAGAATGCACTGTTAACCAAATAAATTCCAGATGTACAGTATTTCCTAGTATAGCCCATAAAAAGCTTCCTTACACCAAACCAAATCACTGGCAAATTTAGCTCAATAACTATCTACACCAGCCTTTCTCAACCGTTGATCTCCATATGGTGTTGGACTACAACTCCCATCTTCCCTAGCAAGCAGAACCAAGGGTCAAGAAGTATGGGAGTTGTAATCCAACAACATCTGGGGACCCAAGGTTGAAAAAGGCTTGACTACACTGACTGGCATTGGCTCCACAAGGTTTCAGACAGAGGTCTCTCCCATCCCTACTTGGATATACCAGTGATTGAACCAGGGAGCCTCTGCATGCAAAGCAGGTGCTCTGCCACTGAACTATGTCCCTTCCCAAATGAGGAGAGAGTGTACAAGAACAGAATGCTGAAAGTCATACAAATGTTATACCTTCGGATACAGTGGTACCTCGGGTTAAGAACTTAATTCGTTCTGGAGGTACGTTCTTAACCTGAAACTGTTCTTAACCTGAAGCACCACTTTAGCTAATGGGGCCTCCCGCTGCCGCCGCCGCACAATTTCTATTCTCATCCTGAAGCAAAGTTCTTAACCCAAGGTACTATTTCTGGGTTAGCGGAGTCTGTAACCTGAAGCGTCTGTAACCTGAAGCATCTGTAGCCCGAGGTACCACTGTATGGCCTACAGCTTCACATCCTGTGTATATATTTTTTTTCTGTCAAGGATGATTTAGATTTATTCAGATAGAATTAAATGGCTATAGAATTTCAGGTCATAACAGAACTATTATGTTCATATATACAGGTGTTGATGCTCTAGGAAGTTGGATTTAGGATGAACACTATGGAGAAGTATGGTTGCAAAGGCAACCATAGGTGATGCTTTCCTTCCTACTCGCTCCCCGTCCCCCATTCCTTCGCATTGTCAAAATATAGATTAAACTCTTCGGGACAGAAACTTGTCCATTTTTGCTTATCTTATTCTGTAAACTCTGTGCTGCAGCAACAATGCTGCGGGTAGAAGATACCCTGGTGTCAAATTAGAAAATTCATTATATAACAAGAGTTGGCAGAAAGTAGATCAGGATCTACCCGTAGATCCAAGTGATTTGAAGTAAATCAGTAAGGATTTCTGACTCTCAGCTGTTTAAGAACACAGCAACAACACAATGAAAAATGCTGGGGTAGGGGAGAGTGGATTGTTGCATAAAAGGACTATGGACTGGGTTCCGTTCTGCCACTAAAAGCACATTTCTGAGTTCAGAATTCTAAAGTGTTTGCCTTCTGCACCTGGCTCCAGTTGGGGGATCTTGGGGTTCTGGTGAAGAAGATGAAAGCATTAAATCTGCTTTTCCCCTGCTCTGCAACACCATTTCTCAAAAGGAGACAGGAACACAAGCCTTCATTTAAAAATATAGTTTTTTGTATCTTCAACAGAAGCCATTAGAATAGTAACTGCTACGAAAATTCTCAACACAACCTGACTCTGAATGAAAAGAGCTATTAAAAAAAAAGAACAGAAAAGAAAACAGAATCCTGTTAAAACAGACACCTTGAAGGAATATTTTGTCATGAGGGGCCACCATTTGAAAAGCCAATTGAAACAACTAAGAAAGCACTTCATTACTGTAGATTAGCTCTAAAAGCAACACAAGCTTTGGAATCCTCAGGTAAAGCACAGTGTCTTTCGTGTTCTTAACACAGAAACATTTCTGCACAAGACAGATGGTTGATGGGTATTAAAGGAAGTAGGGTCTGTCTAAAACAAAAGAGCATAATTTGTTATTTGGAGGTGGGGGGAAACCTACTAGACACTGTATTTCTCAGATTAAGTAGGAAGATTTTTTACCACCCCACTGGGAATAAAATGTATGGAATCACCCTCAAAATGATTCTGCTCAACACAAAGGTTCAGAAGGGGTTTACCAAGCCCCTCTGCTTGCCTAGAGCACAAACAACATGATATCCCAGCCCATTACGGAAGCAAAAGTAGAACTAAAATAAAATAAAGCCTGGATTTTACTAATGTCACATCCTCATAAGACACCAAATAGAATGCAGCAGATGGCAGTCAAATATTCCAGAGCAATCTTTGCAAAAGATGCAGTGTGTCATGCACAATGCAAAACGGTTTGGGATAAAAGGGCCATAACGAGCCATATGTCGTTAGTCGTTTTATTTGTAGCAACATGGCGTACAACAGCGAAAGGCCCATCAAGGTCCAATGGTGAGGGAGAACTACAGCCCCAGGTAGAGGCAGACACAGAAGACACACTGGAGATAGCAATAACTAAGCAAACAGGAGAGAAAGCTGCTGTGGATAGCAATTAAATGCCTCCGAGAAAGCCATCAAGTAGCTGAGAAGATGCTTAAACCAGTAAATTTCAGGCCTTCAGCATGGAGAAGATAACCCTGAAACCAAGCAGCATCAATATACGTTAACATATTTCTGATGCCACTTAAATGGCAGGGGAAACAATGTCATGCCGGTGTAAAATGACAGGGTAAAACCAAGAACTGGAAAGCACAGCAGCAGATGTGAAATCTATATGTCAAGGCAAGTTCTGCCTAAAGGTGTCGGTAATGTGGATTACTGCTCCGGCTGCAGTGCTCCTGCCTGCTCCTGGCACACAAGAGTTCAGTGGAGGTTGATGCACAAAGCAGGAAAGACAGTCCTGGCAGCAAGCAGATGTTTTCACACCAACAGTTCTAACACCTTGACCAGACCCAAACTCTTAAAACCCTTTCCATGTCTCAAGACCTCTTCCCCAGCAATAGAATAATTATTAATAATAAAATAATGCTTTTCCCTAACTGTTCACGGCAAGTGTGCAATCTCTATACAACAATCGTGTAAGCCATGCCAGTCTCATTTCCCACATATTACAGACTGAGGGCAGGGGAGTGGGCCTGAAAGATGGCAGCTTGCTTAAGACCACCCATTAGGTTCATAGCTGAGCTGAGGTTTGAACCTCAGTCCATAGTGTACTGTCTCTACCATTACATTACACAGCCCAGTACTGACAGTTCTGCCATCAAGAGCTTGATATCAGGAACTTGCACAGATTAAGCTTTCAGAGACTTGAGCTGAGACAATAGCTGTTCTCCCACTAACAGAATGATCAGGGATGAGAGCCACCTGATTCTAGAGAATATGACATTTCAGCAACCAATCTAATGTTCTACATTTGTACACTCCACTCTTCTAAAAGCTAGCTACTGATTTCTGCTTTTAATAATAATAATAAAATCTGAAAATTAAAATCTCAGCCTACAAAGCCTCCAGGTACTTTATACTTTTCATTTAATTTGAGCAATATAATTGCAGCGCGCACAAAGAGCACTGTAAGGTCATGCTGGTAATTAAAGCTATATTGTAGAAATATGCACTCTCAAAATGTGATTAAATAATAAAATATTACTTAGCTTGGGATCGTCATTAAACTTGCATTCATATATAAATATTTAACTGTAGCATATCTGAACATAAACAATATGTAGTTGTCATTTTTTTAAATAAATAATGCGAGTACTGAGCCATCCTCAGACTCATATTCATACTCATACTCACATTCAAAGGCTGTTGTCGTCGCATCAGGCAGAACCTGACTGATCACATCCTGCAAAATAAAAGTAAAAATGGAGGCAGAGTGAGCTATATTTTTATCAACCCTTTTTGTAGAACCATTTACTTTCAGATCCTCTTATTAGCACATTCACAGGTTTTTCTCTCTTGCTGCTGGAATAGAAGATACCAAAAGCAAAACCAAGTCACAGGACCATAGAGTTAGAAGTCACCTCAAGGGTCATCTAGTCCAATTACGTCCCCTACCAATGCAGAAACCTGCTCATCTAGCAATTTAGCTAGGAGGGCCATCCAGTCTCTGCTTTTAAACTTCGAACAAAAAATAGAGTCCACCATCTTCTGAGACAGTCTGTTACTGTTGAATAGCTCCTTCCAAGTTCTTCCAAATGTTTGGCCAATATGACCAATCATGTAATTTGAACCCATTAAGTTGCATGTCATCCCCTGGAGCAACAGAACACAAATTTGCACCATCATTTATGTGAAACCCCTTAAAATGTATTGCATTTCCTCTTTAACGTCTTTTCCCAAGGCTCTTCTCCCTTGGATTTCTTCCCCCTTCAACCTTTCCTCATAAGACCTGGTCTCTAGACCAATCATGATCTTTGTCATCCTCCTCTGGAAATGTTCATTTGGCAATATTTTTCTTAAACTGAGGTGCCCCAGAAATTGGCACAGTATGTCATAGAAGATCCAACCAAGGTCTGAGTGACACCTTTACTTCTTGTGCCCTGGACGCTATACTTTTCTTCATGTAACCAAGAATCCCATTAGCCATTTTAACCACTGCATACTATTGCTGGCCTGTGGTTTACTAAAATCCCAGATACTCTTCACATCTACCGCTGCAAGGTTAGGGGGTCACCCGTCCTTTATTTGTGCATCAGATTTTGTATACTCAAATGCAAAACTCTACATTTATCTCAGATGAAATTCATTCTGTACACTAAGTTGGATCCTCCAGCCACTTTGGTGTCACCTGCAGATTGGGTGTACCTTCATCCAAATATTTTCCTTCATCATGCATTCAGTAAGAATGTGTCAAGTATACTGCCACAGAAGAGAGCACTCTAATCCAGCATTCGAAACTCCCCTTGTTCTAGGTGCGTTTTGCGACAGAGAATTTCATTAATGTGAGCAGTTTCTGAGCTCTGGGCGTAGTACTGCGCCTAAGATTTCAGATTAAAACTGCCACTGCTGGAAGGAAAGGAGGACCTTTTTCTGCTTCCCGACTTCCAGCCACTCTCTGAAGACTGGAGAAGAGACCCTCATAAGAATATAAGGGGATGGAGCAGGGGGTGTAGGACTTTGTTTTTTTTTGCAGTCTTCAGATGAGGACTAGACCATGTGAGTTATGAACATAAGATTTTAGCTGCAGTTCATTCATTTTCAGCTTTATATTCTTGTTATATAAAAAAGCATGCCTAGACACTCCACTGCGGCACCCATAACCTAGGTTTAAGGTGCTATTTAGCTCCTAGCTTTCTTATCTCAGTTTCTAACACTGCTCTAATCCAACCCTCTCTCCCCAGGAAGACAGAACTACTCATACTCTATTAAAGTAATTGAATGCTGAACATGCACTAACCTGGAGGCAAACTCAAGTGCAGAAATGACTATTTGGCTAGATAATAAATAAATAAATAAAATGTACCTTAAGAACCCAGTTTCCAAAATACCGTATTTTTTGCACCATAACACTCACTTTTTTCCTCCTAAAAAGTAAGGGGAAATGTCTGTGCGTGTTATGGAGGGAATGCCTACGGGTGGCATGCCTACAGATTTTCCTCCTCTAAAAACTACGTGCGTGTTATGGTTGGGTGCGTGTTATAGAGCGAAAAATACGGTACATGCCAAGTTTTACTTCATATGTTACCAGCTTCACTATAGTGTCATATGTTACCAGCTTCACTAGGAAAATAGCCTTTGGTACACTTTAAGCTAATGTGAAAGTGCCACTGACAAGAATGTAAACAGGGTGATCTGGAAATCCAAGTTGGGAAAGTAGCCATTATCTTCAAAGTCTATACATGATAAATGATGTAAAGTTTGGGTTCACAAAGAAACAGCAGAGCGTCTTTTTCCTTTTACCACTGGTCAGCCTTCTTTAACTGCACATACAAAAGACTGGTTGAACCACATTAAAAGTTTGTTATTACATCACTCTCTGAGTACTAGATCAGCCCAAGGAGAGAAAAACAAAAAGCTCAAGATTCAGCACTCTAAAAGGGAAGTCATTGTGGACATTGGAAGCTCAGGTGTATAGCACTAAGCTATGGCCAAAATTTGTCCCTTCTTGCAAAAGAAAGGAATTGTTCCAGATTCTTAAGCAGTATTCTTTTCAGAATCCAGACTCACCTTTTGCCTAAATGTGCATTTGGGGACCTTCATAACTTTTTTGCTGTTGCCACCCACCTTAGGTCAGGTTGTGATCTAGTAGCAGATCCTAACTTTGTTGGCATCCATCTGTCTCAAGAGACAATGGAGTGTGCCTCTGGGGGTGAAGTCAAACCTCTGTGTTAGCAGCACCAAAAAGACCTCTCTAGGGTGTATGGAGGTCCTGGGCTGCCCAGATGACAGGATCCCCCCCCCCCCCGGCCTCACTGATCAACCAGCTGAACCTAAATATTGGAGAACCTCAGAAATATTTACCAGAGCTTTTTTGTGAAAACTGTCTGTGTGATGCAAGAAGAACGTAAAGCAGGTCTGCCTGGTGGTTTTGGTTAATTTCATACAAATCTACCACACATCACCAGCCTTCTGCACTGTAAAAGAAGTTGCCATCATTCAAAAGTTAAAAAAATTGTTCTTCCTTTTAACTAAGCTGCAGTTCTACGCACAGTCCTTGGGAGCAAGCACCATTGAACTTCTTTCCAAGTAAACATGCATAGGACAAATTATCACACTACATGCACTAATTGACTGACCAATGAGTATTTGTGCTATCTATGTTTCTTGCAAATGCTTCCATGTCCCACTACAGGTGTTAATGAAATCATATCACCAGTCTGCTACTATAAAACATTAAAAGCAATACCCATTTAACATATATTTAAGAACTAATTATCCTTTACAGACACTAGTTATTCTCACTGCCATTAAAGTCCCATCTTACAATTTTCTCCTTTACATATCTGCCAACTAAGATTGCACGTCACAATCTAACAAGGTAGGCTTGAGTCCATAAAAACCTATGCCATAATACATTCATATAGGCTCCTCCACACTTCTGTTTTTCCTGTGATTTCCTGGCACAGGTCCAAGAGAAATTTCATTTGCCCCCTTGCTCTCGCCTGGAAAATCCACTGTTTACTGCTGAATCAGAATAAACATCAACCCACAGTTTGCTCTGATTCAAACTTAGTCTTGTAAGGTGCCACAAGACTCTTGGCTGTTTTTCCTGAAGGAGACTAACACAACTAAGTAAAGGTAAAGGGACCCCTGACCGTTAGGTCCAGTCGCGGACGACTCTGGGGTTGTGGCGCTCATCTCGCTTTACTGGCCGAGGGAGCCGGCATTTGTCCGCATAAAGCTTCCGGGTCATGCGGCCAGCATGACTAACCCACTTCTGGCAAACCAGAGCAGCGCACAGAAACACTGTTTACCTTCCTGCCGGAGCGGTACCTATTTATCTACTTGCACTTTGACGTGCCTTTTGAACTGCTAGGTTGGCAGGAGCAGGGGCCGGCGAGGATTCGGCAAGCCCTAGGCTCTGTGGTTTAGGCCACAACTACTCATCTTCAAATGCCTGGAGTTGCACACCACATCACAAGTCATTATTGCTATAAAAAAGGAGCGGGGAGTTATTATCATTAAAATTGTGATCTGGGAAGTCTATTCACTAACCCAAAACAATATGCTGCTTGAGAGGAAGCAATTCTGAAGGCTTTATTACATTTCTCTCCCAGACCTGTGTTTCAGAAAAGCTGGTGCATCTTGTGCCTTTTGTCTACTCTGATAAAGTGGTGCTTCCAGACGGGTGTGTATTTATTAAAATATTTGTACACCCCTATATCATTTAAAAATATCAAAACACTTTGTAGCAATTAAAAACATAAAAATATGTAATAAAACCATTAAAACGTTAAAAACATGATTGGATTTGGGCCCCTCACAGGCATCAAAATGCCAACAGCCAACGTAACCCAGGTTAACACTTTCCAAGGAAAAATGTGATAAATTTCCAACAACCAGCTTACAATCTGGATGCAGAATTCCTCGTTTTTCTCTGAAACCTCCCTGCGTGGAAGAGGAGCTTCCAATTCACTGGACAAAACTGAAATTCTCCATTGCTGCAAGTGAAAAGAGGGGGAGCCCGGGTCTACTTCGCAGCAGCTGCGGGGTAGAGTGGGATGGAGATAACCACCTGTTAATCCGGAGTGTAGGTTGTGGGGTGGGGGGAGAAGGCACGTAAAACAAACCCCACGGAGCAAGCAAGAAGACATCCGGTCCTCAACCCAACCCCACATCTCCAATAGGGGTAGTTGCGGCGTGTCGAAACCGAAGCCCCCCACCGGAAGGCGGTGGAAATGCGGGGTAAGTGGCAGGGAAGAAGCCGCCGCTACTCCGCCAAATTCCCCCGGGATAGCGGCGGTTCCTGAGGCGAAATAGACAGCGCACCTGGGGCACCCACCCACCCATATTTCCCTGGCACCTCACGCCCGAGCTAATGGGGAGGGGTGCCCCGAGTGACACCCCCCAGCCCCATATTCCTCCTCTCTCACTCACCAGGACGTCCCTGAAGAGCAGCTGAGGCGCCGGGTGGACCGTCCAGTCCACGGCGCCGCCGTCCGGGACGCGGATGCGGATGACCAGCGCCGGGTTGGGGGGCTCCATGGCGGGGCTGGGGCCGGCGGCTGAGGCGGCGTCGGCGTCGCCCACGGCCAGTAAGAGCATCCCCGGAGCAGCCGCCGGGGCCGAGGGAGACGGAGCGGGCGAGGGAGGCTCGCTCACATGGCTTGCCCGGACTAGGCCGAGGCGGGCCTGAGAGGAAGGCAGGAAGAAGGAGCCGGGCGGGATTCCCCCCCAGGCGCGGCTAGGCCCAGGCGGGCGCCTTCGTCGCGGAGAGGAAGGCTGGGAAAGCTGAGGGGAGGCGCCGGCGATGGTGCAGCCGCCGCTGCGCCGGGGAAGGGGGCAGCCGGGCAGGAGTTCGCCGGGGCAGGAAGGCCCCCTTCGCCGCAACGGGGACGGCCTCCTAAGCCGGGCCTCGCCCCCGCCGGCGCCACAGCAGCCCCCTTTCCCTTCAAGGGCTGGAGGCTCCGATGCCCCGCGGAATGACTCTTTCTTTTTCTCCCCCCCCCCGCCCGCTGCTCACCCCAGTTAGGCCGCCTTTGCTAAACGTCACCCATGCCGCGTCTCCCCCCCCCCCCCAAGCATACACGGTGGATATTTCCTGATCGCTCAAACACAGACTTATTTATTTTTCTGAAGTCTCGTTTCCCGTATTTCTGCATTGCGTGCCTGCATTGTGTGCAAAAGCCCACAATGAAAACCACCACCATTTAAGTGTGCACGTGCAAGGTAATATGCATAAATATGCGCATAGCGAAACTTTTTCCATCAGCTTCTCCTCTTCCTGAAAGTCTTTCCTTCACAGCAGGTCATTCCAAGAACTCTGTAAGTAATGTATGTGTTGTGTACACACCAAGCCTTTAAAGAGCATTCCAAACACGTTCTTTTCCCTCCAGGCATTCTGGGCACCGGAGTTTACCTCTGACGGTTGCAATTCCCTGCAACCCTTAACAAACTGCAGCACCCCGAATTTATTTGAAAGGGAAAGAATATGTTTGAATGTCCTTTTACAGGTACTGTATAATGTGTAGCTGTGTTTGTGTTTTTCCTCCTCCCCTCCACATTCCCTTTCCTTTTGTGTTGTGTCTTTGGAACTAAAGCTGAGAGCAGGGGCTGACGTATCATTGACATTTGTAAGCTGCTCTAGAAGCCTGATTTGGCTGAAGATTGAGAGTATTGAAAAAAAGCCCAAACATTAAAAAGCTTTGAAATGTCAATTTTCTTCCCTTCCCCCTTGAAAAACAGTCAGCAGTGTGGGCAGACCAGCTTCTAGAGCAGCCACTATAAAATATACTATGTGCTGCCAAAGCAAAGGCCCTCTCCCTTTTCCAACACCCTCCCCCCACCAAGCAGTAAAACACCAAGGATATTCTCAGTGGTAAAGGGGAGATCTAGGGCAGATTTCTGAGCCTAGGGGAGTTCTGGCACCTTTACAGCATCTCTCACACACACCATGTGGCTGCATGCGTATTTTATATGTCCCTTACATTTAAAGTGCACTGCTTTCCCCCAAAAATCCTGGTACTTTCCCCAAAGAATTGGGCGGTGCACAATGTGGTTTTGATATTTTGAGGGCCTTCTCAGTAGTGGCGCCCACCCTGTGCAACGCCCTCCCCTCAGGTGTCAAGAAAAGAAACAACAATCAGACTTTTATAAGATATCTGAAGGCAACCCTGTTTAGGGAAATTTTTAAGGATTGATGTCTTTATTATGTTTTTAGATAGGTTGTAAGCCTATCTGGAAACCCAGCCAGATGGGTGGGGTATAAATAATAAAATTATTACTATTATTATTATTATTATTATTATCCCAGACAAATCACAGCTGACACATTCTGTCTAATTCTGTTATGAATTTGGGTTGGTGGGGGGCCAGATTTCCCTAAATTCCTGGATATAGTAAACATTAGAATTAATAAAGGTTTGATTAAACTTTGCCAAACACAGAAACCGCCTGGATTTAGAGCTGGCTAAATACGCATGGCCCTTCAAGGAGGGCAAGACAGCCAGGCAAGGGGAGTTGCTGCCCCTTCTTTGCTGAGTGCTAGTGGGAAGAGGCAAAGGGCAGGTTCAGGGTTTCAACTTTGAATGACATAGGCTAGGGGAGGCACTTCCTATCAGTTAGCAAGGAGAAGGAGGATTAGGGGCAGAACTCCATGTGAGCGGGGGATGACAGGCTGGAACTAAGAAACACTGAAGGTGGCTTTTTGCTGTCTTATGAAGCCAATGCTGCCCTTACGCCAGACGCTCCAAGAATGTGAATGCAATCCCTCCATTTATATATGTGCAAATAAAACCATATTTCAAAAAGACACCACAGTCTCTTGGTGTGCCTCCTTGTCCCAAAAGGGAACACAGACTGATCTCCACGTGCTGCAACCCCTGGAATGTTGCACCACTTGTGGAGATTGGGGTGGCATGTTACAGTAGTTTGCAGACTTCTTCAATGGCTAGTGTTGAGCATGAACGGCTGGGGCTAAGTGCACTTTCTCCAGAAAAGGGTGCAGCTGACATACCAGATGAAGTTACTAAATTGCCCCCTACCTGCATACTTAGTGGGTCTAAGACAGGGTTGGGGAGAAGGTACAGTGGGATCTATTGGTAGATCTCTGGGTGAGTTGCAGTAGACCACAATAGATTCTAACTGCTTTTTAACAATATCAACAACGAAGAAGCTTACCCCTCTAAAGGATAAATGTGTCTCAAAAAGAATGTTTGGGGGCATAGCAGAAGTGTTGGCTGCTTTTCGTAGGTGGACTTCACATGCTCAAAGGTTCCTTAATTCTTAGCATTTGTCTCCCCAAGCCTGTTTAGGAGTCTCCCCAAGCCAGAGCAACCCCAAGCTGCAGACCTATTGCTTCATGGGGATGACAACCCTGTCTAACACACCTGGATTAGTAGATCCCAACCCACAGAGCCTCCATCTTCTCTGGAGTTTATTCCCATCCCATCCAAAATAGCTTCTGGATATTGGTAGCCCAAATCCATGTTCCTTATGGCTCTGCCAAGTCAGAGGTACCAAGAAAGCAAAACAAATTATCTTGTTATGCACTGGTTTGGTGGTAGTTTTAAGATTTGCTCTTGACTCCATCCAGGATTAAGCCTTTAGACTTGCTGTGAATCCTGCTCATTGAAACCTTTACAGGTGCCCAAGAGTCCCTTTCTTCTGCTGCACCTATCCCAGATTTCTCTTGCAACCCCCTCTCCTCTTGCCCAACACATCTCTAGGACAGATTAAAAAATCATAAGGAAATGAACAGTAGAGAGAAAGTGATCCATCCATCCCAGTGCCCTAATACTAGCATTCATCCAATTAAATACATTGACTATTAAGTTCATTTCCAAAGGAAAATGCTTTTTCACGCAATGGAGTATTAACTTTGGGTACTCATTGCCACAAGGTAAGTTTATGGTCACAAGTCTAGATGGTTATTAGCCATGACAATTGGACAGAGCCTCCATGTTCAGTAGCAGTAATCCTCTGATTAACACATACTGAGTGCAAACACCATGTGGTGGGTATCACTAGAATGCCTTGCACTTGTAAAAAAGGGGGGCGTGTCAGCTCCTGCAGAATAAACAGACACGCTCATACAGTACAATACCATGTGTGAATAGGCTGTAGTCTTTATCATTCAAGGTACAGTGGTACCTCAGGTTACATACGCTTCAGGTTACAGACTCTGTTAACCCAGAAATAGTGCTTCAGGTTAAGAACTTTGCTTCAGGATGAGAACAGAAATTGTGCTCCGGCGGCGCGGCAACAGTGGGAGGCCCTGTTAGCTAAAGTGGTGCTTCAGGTTAAGAACAGTTTCAGGTTAAGTACGGACCTCCGGAACAAATTAAATACTTAACCCGAGGTACCACTGTAATTGGCGAACTTCATAATTTGATTCAAATTCATTACATCCCCCCCCAAAAAAAGAAGAAAAATAAAGAAGAGCCCTGCTAGCAATATTTGATATAATTCATGAAAGTCCTTGGCTCCCACTCATTAAAATTCTAGGTGGTTTAGGGCTTTTTTAAGTTTAATCCTTGAATGGCCATTAGCGAAGATAAATTATCTTTCTGTTCAATAACTTTATAATTTAAACTGGTACCAACCCCCCCCCAAACCCTTAATAGTCTCATCTTGAGAATATTCCAGGAATAGTGACTGTCCACATGGACTTTCAGTGCTGTTGAAATGAACCTTCTGCCAGAAGTCCCTATGTACCATTCAATGAAAATTCATTTTCTGTTAAGTTGTAAAGAATAGGCTATGAAATCACAGCTTTTCTATGGCCTTACAGTCCCACCCTAATATATATATATATTCATTCATAAACCTATAGGGAAAACCAATTCAACTTACCAGATTTGCATAAATATTATGTAGCTTTTCAACATGGCTATTCACTGCCGCAGTTCCTTATTCCAGTTTGCATTGAGACAGCAGTAATCAAACTTCAGCTTTTTAATATTTTTCCTTCTAAAGCACCTCAGATATTTGCAGAGCAGCAGTGTTTTCAATTCTATGGAGAATACAGAAACAAACAAACCAGCTACAGAGCTTAGAAAAAAATATTCTAGTCCTATAAAACAATGACTCTGACATTGACTTAGATTGCATACTCAAGATCACTTAATGTCAATGAGTTACCCCTTAAGACATTTATTGATTAATTTATTCAAAGCACAGTACCAAAGGAGTTTGCGTAGTGCAAAGGTTAAACAGATGAGAAGCATGAATTAATTCTACCAGACTCCAACTTACAATTTCCCAAATGTCACTTGTATGTTCCAAGCTCTACCAATATATGCTATCATAGAGTCACGGGGCTAGTATGCTTGATTACTGCAGCATCAAGCGGTACTTTGCATGTGAGAATGAGTAAATATGGATCAAATGACACAGACAGAACTTTGGAAGCACTCCCAGCACAAAAACGTCTGGAGACCCCAGGTTGGGAAGCCTGAAATGACTCAGGGAGGCAATTCAAATATGTCAGAAGTGTGTGCATACATTCTTTATCAACCCCCAAAACAGTCCTGGAGCCAAAAATATGTGCAAATCATTCTGCATGGCCAAGGCATACTGTATTTCTCAAATAGCAGTTTCCTACTCCACATGGCAACAATGGCAAGTTTCTTTTGAAAACTGATAAAAGTTTGAAGCCATTTGTGTCAGAAATATGGCTCTTGTTGGCATCCGTCTGTCTCCCGAGACAATGGAGGAGTGTGCCTTTGAGGGTGAAGTTAAACTGTTAGGCTGTATGCCAATCTGGTTGAGCTCACAACTTCTGAGTTTATAACTTTATAACGCCTCCTGTGTTGTTTTTGCTGCTTTAGCCTGGGGAGTGTGTATCAAGGTCCTGGGCTGCCCAGACAATATCCCCCTCTTGGCCTTGCTGATGTGGTCCAAAGGAAAGCAGAGCAATACACTTGGCACCAGTTGGGCTGCAGGAGTTGCCAGAAGGAGGCATACAAGATGCCATCCAACTGCCTTAGGGACTCCACTCTTGAT